TGCAGCAACTTAAATTGAGGGTGTGGTACCCATTTCTTGCAGTTTTACAGTCTCACTGTTTAAATAAAAAAACAGAAGCCATACAGTTTATGATGATGACTGCATGGCTGCTGGATAATATATCGATGGAACCATTTTTGTGCAGTCACCATTTTTACTTTATAGTTGGACATTCTATTTTATAAGAGGATCCTTCTGAAGTACAGAAGCATTTTATTGGCTTATGGTTTTGTGTTGTGGGATTTATTTCCCTTGTCACCATTTAATAATAGGGACTGATAAATAATGAGTAGCATCATGCAGTCTCTTTAATACGAGAGCTGGGGTTTTTAGTCTAAAAATATTTTGCTGGAAAACTTGCAGGTTTTCAAGACAGAAATTTACCCGTTGTCTTAGGCACTGTTGTGACAGAGCCATGCCTCAGAGTCCCAAGACTGGCAAACTCAGCCACCCTTTTTACTTCACTGCAAGGTTTATGTCTCTCCAAGTTACATTATTCCAGTGTCTGAACTTTTTACTCTTCCTTGTATGCATGATGTCCGTTCCTTCTCTGTGGGCATTGATGCTCTGTCCCTGTCCACAGTTTTCATGACTTCTAGTTTGAACTTAACTTAGAACAGCATTGTTCCTATGTATATACTTAAAATGCAAGTCAATTATGTCAGTTGCATCATTTAGAAGAAAATAGTTTTGTGTATTTAAATCGCTGTTACTTAAAGTTTGAATCCCTTTTTGCATGTGGTCTAACCCCGCCCTGTAGGCCCCCACCTCAGCCTATGCAGGATTAGAGGCTATAAACTGTCCTTTATCTTTTTTAAGATTAGTATTATTAAAGTTAGTGTTTTCTGTAGCTATCTTTCTAAACAGACAGGGTGACTGCAAGCATGGTCCCTTGTTGTAACATATGCCAAGAGTCTTCCATTAATGTACTTTTCCCATTTTCCTGCTAGGATGCTTTTTGCTGCTGCAGCACTAACCCTTTTTTGGTAGGTTTAAAGCTTCAAGATGTGCATTACACCTGACTCCTCCTGCATCCACAGATCCTGAACTTGAGCAAAATGGTAACCCAAGGTGGTCACTGATCAGTCTGTAGAGGAAGCATGGGAGCGCAGACCTTGTGTGCTCCCAGATCTTCTACTGTGCCAGTTCAACATCCTAATCCAGGAGACAGCTGGACTCTCTTCTTTATGCAGCATTTGTTTTCTTCTAAGGTAGTCAGTTTTATCAGCACACATGGTTCAAGGAGCATCAGAGCATTCACAGTGTAGATCAAGCAGTGAGGGGATAAAAGGTAGGACATGAAAGGTATAAGTCTTATTTTCTGCAGGTCCACCCTTGTCAGGGCAGGCAAAATGAAAGAGTGAAATCATCCTGAATTAAACCATGAAACATCTGCACTGAAGGCAAATCCTTATTGTCTAGATTTCTTATTACCAAAGGGCTTGGGTTTATGGACAGAAGTATGTAAAAATAATTCACAGATAACACAGGAGTATATATGCTAATCAGAGTGAAAAGCATTTCTATTTACAGACTACTTTATTAAGCATTCATTAGACAACTTTAAACAGATTAACATAAGGTGTCCTAAGCAGTTTTAAATCTTTCTTGATGAAACTGATAATTTAATTATATAAATATTTAAACTTGGACTTTCCTACAAATAATGTACCAATAGGGAAGCATTCACAGAGCAACTTACCAGCCCCAGTGTACAGGTATTTTTTTGAGCTATGTGTGCTCAGTTCTCAGTAAGGTCAGTGCTGGTCGTAAGAAGGTCTTAATTTTCATTAGTGCAAACTGGCTTTTTTTCGTCATTTTTCCTGGTTTCACATACTAATACAGAAAGAGCACTGCCTTGGATGGAAAGAGGTGTAGAAAACCTTGAGCTTGTGATTTCAGATTATCATGTGTTTTTAACGGTACCATTTTCTGGAGATACTTCAGTATAGTTGCCTTTATCCAAGCATTTAGAATGATTTATGCTTTATTGTGTAGCTGGGGGGGGGGGGGGGGGGTGTGTTATTGTGATAAAAGCTGTGAGAGCTTGTGCTGGTTTGGAAGTCTCTAACTTGCACATGATGACTTGGAATAGAAACTGGAAATTTTAAACATGTCTGGAAAGGATTAATGGAGCATTTAAGCTGTTAATACAGTTCACCAGGAAAAAGCAAAAGCAGCTCCACTGGTGTCCTACCTGCAGCCTGTGCTGTCATTTCATTAATATCCAGAGGTCAGCAATATCTGTAGGAACACAGCTTGGTTTTACACAATTGTTCTCTACACTGCAAAGGCAAACAGCTCTACTTTGCCTGTGCAGCTCTGAGTTTTTCCTAATGACAGGAAAATTTAGACAGCGAGACACAGAAATATTTGTGTACTTGAAATTTCTGTGTGATTTTTAACCAAATTCATTTAGTTTGTGTAAAATTCAGTAATAAGATCTGTACATAGCTGGAGAATAGTTGTCCAAGGAAGAGCTTGACTCTGATGGAAAACAGCGAGCTTTCTTATTTAATGCTTTGGATTTTCACTATTCTGTTGTAAGTAATACAAGCTAAGCATAAAACATAAACATCCTAAATGCTTTGTTTTGTCTTTTTCATTTAATGAAAACAAACTCTTTGGGTTTATAATCATAGAATAGTTATATTATAGAAACTGATTATTTAACTGAAATAAACTTTAATTCTCTGTAGCTGTATGAAAGGAAGGACATCTTTTTTGAATGGCACCAAATTAGGGTTTTGTAATAAATTCTTAAACTTATTTAGTAATAGCTGAGGTACAACGTTTTCATCATTCAGCTGTTAATCATGCTATGTACCGAAACCTGTACATGCTCTTCATAATTAGTTACTTAATCCTTTTGGGGTTCTTAAAGTTTGGTGTACTTAGGAGTACATTGCTTTCTTCATGACCACATGTGGGACTTTGCCTTGAATATTCACCAGTGCTTGCCAAATCCTCTTTAAATTTTGGTTATCTTCATGTGTAACGCAGTTACTCTGCACTTTTGCAACCTTATCTTTACAGCTTTACAATTGTGTCGGGTGTTCAGTGCCACCGTGCTTTTGCACACACCATTTTAATGAACTTCATGGGCTGGTGTAGCACTGGGAAGAAGTTGAGCAATTTGTCACCAGTGGTTCTTCCTGGCAGATGATGTGTAGGGAAACAAATATTTCTTATAATGTTTGTATGGTATGCCACAAAGTAGTATCTGGCCACTAGGTTTTCATAGTCATTAAATCACATTAATAACAACCACTGGAGTCCTAAATAAGTCATGGTTGTGCAATTACATAAGTACAAAAATGCTGAGTCTGGGCAAGTGCAAGGAAGACAGTCTTTTCCCTGAATAATTCCCACTCCAAGAGCAATTCTGACTGATAAGTGGTTCAAGGCAGAATATTTACAAAACAGTCCTCAACTGCTTGAAAACTTGATTTCATGGTTCTTGGGAGAGAGATTACAAAGTTGCATCATGTCCTTGAATGACTGCTAGCTGATTTAGCTGGCTTTCAAGAACAGACTCTTTGGGGGGGTAGAGTGTTTGTTGGGTTTGGGTTTTTTTCTAGAAATTTTGCTCTATAATATCTTTTAAGTATTTACTAGTTTCCTCCTCCTTCCTGTTGCTTAAAGCTGCTGCATATGGTAAATGGGGAGACTTAAGCCTTTATTTCTGTAGCAGTTTACTTTTCCAGACTTCCAAGTTTTTCCACTTGAGGCAGAGGAGAAAAATTGTAATTACCTTTGAGAGATGGACAACAGCTTCTTCAGATTTCATGAATGGTCTCCCCTTTTATCCCCACAGGGCTCACATTTCTTTATGATGGAGACACTTTACATGATAAGTCACTTCCTTTTTGTGGGTTCGGGTTTGGGTTTTTTTCTGTTCTGCATCACTTAAGTTTCAGCAAATTGATCAAAATGTCTCAGTCAATTCCATGGTGTTCTTAAGATGAAAATACTCTTTAGTGGCAGCTTACAACATATATATTAGTTTTCCTCATAATGATACTTTTCCTATTAAAACAGCTAAAATTCTATATGATATCATCTGACTTTTTATAGCTCCGATTTACTTCAGCCATTTGAGTTACAAGCATTATTTGGAGGATGGCTTTTTGTGGTTTTGTTTGTTTAGAATTGAGTACAGAATATGTTGCGGAAATTTCTCTTAAGAAAGTTAAAGTTCATATATCTCGTCCTATGCAGTGACTGGCCTTTCATTAGATGTTGAAGTAAGCCTAGTCATCCTGAAGTAGTTTTTAATTTTGTGGGCTTTAGGCCCCTTAAATTCACAACTATGTTAGTTCAGTGCCCTCCAGTGTAGTTCTTTAACCATCTTTGAAGTCATCATTAGAAGATCAGGTCATGTGTTCATAATGTTGCAGGTTGTTGGATTATATAATCTATGTTTTGCTAAAGCATGGATTTAGAGAAACAACATTTATTAAAAGGAATTGTTTGGGTTTTGTCCCTAATTTTTGTTTTTCTATGCCAGAGAAGTTAAATGGATTGTATTAAATACTTTTCCTGTCATTGCTCTTTGCAGCAGGTCTTTAGGCATCTCCTGAAATATTCAGTTTCTTCTTCCCTGCAAGCCAGTATTTCCAGCAAACAGTAATTCATCACTGAAATAAAGCACACTTTGATTGATGCTGCTATTTAGTACAGCTATTTATTTATAACTTTTTCTACTTTTTTTGCATCTGCCTCATCCCCAGGTATTTGTACATGTATCTGTGTACCTCTGCCTCTTAATTAGGTACTCGTACTCTTAGAAAGGTGTAGTGCATAAATGTCTTGGAGCAGGAGGGAAGGGACATTATCTGCTTTCAGGATGTGCACTTGCCTGTTTAAACTTCAGTTCTGCAAGCTGTTTGATGTTTGTTTTTTTACTCTAAGCGTAACCGCTTTTCATCTTGCAGGCTATAGATGCATAACGATATAAATGGAATTCTGAATTGCAAATTTTCATGTTTTCTTCACAGAGTTCTTGAATATGTCAGGAAATATACCATTAAATATTAATATCAAGGAGCCCCGATGGGATCAAAGCACTTTTGCTGGACGAGCCAATCACTTCTTTACTGTAACAGACCCCCGGAATATTTTGTTATCTAATGCTCAGCTGGAAAATGCAAGAAAAATTGTGCATGATTACAGGTATGGCATTGATCACTTTTACTGCAGGCCAAAAAAAGTCCATGTCAATAATAAGCACATGGTTATGTATTTAAAAGGAAATATTTAAAACACTGTATTCACTGTACCACTCTCATTTTATTTCAGAGCTTGAGACACCTTTTTTTCATTTTAAAATAAACTTGCTAATGAATGGAGAAATTGTGTCATCTTAGAACCCCTATGAAGAATTCTGAAATACAGAATGCTTAATAGCATTCTTAAATTCTGAAATTAGTTCATATGACAGCAAAGTTTAAAACCCCATATGCATTATATTGTTTGAAAATTTACTTTGCAAGTATTTACGATTCTACTTGCTCCAGAATTCCACACTGATGATGCCAGAGATCTGAGCTCTGAAATCCAGTACAGGTTCGAGTAAATCGAAATTTGGTGCTGCATGTATCAACTCAGCCAACATAACCATTACTGGGAGTTTTGATTGTTCTCCTTTCACCAGTCCATTTAAAAGCTGAAGAACTACAAGCTAACTATGAGGCTAGATTAACTTAGTGTGAACATCCCAAAATCCTCTGATGCCGCATTTGTCACTGGAATTTGCAGCGTTTTATAACAGTTGTGCTTTCTGCTGTTGTCTTACTTTGTTTTTCTAACTCGTCCCAAGACAAGGTATTGTGTCACCTGGCTTGACAGAAGATGACTTGTGGAGAGCAAAATATATCTATGATTCAGCCTTTCACCCAGACACTGGTGAAAAGATGATCTTGATTGGCCGAATGTCAGCTCAGGTACCCATGAACATGACTATCACAGGTTGTATGATGACCTTTTATAGGTAAGTGATGGCAGTATCTTACAGAAAACATTTGCTTACAAATTAGAGAAGTTGAAATCAATGTTATTGTCGAAATAGCATTTTAGAAGATTTATAATGTTTACAAAGGTAAAATTTTGCTTCCTTTTCTTTTCTCTCTCTGCATTCCCTTACACTTAATGGTTTATTTTATGGTTTCCTCTAGAAGTAGTTGTGAGTTAATCCCTTAGCTCCTCTGCTTCACCATCCCACTTTTTCTCAAACTGGGAAAGTTGAATGATCCAGAATTCATCTGTGTAGGAGAGTTGTGTAGAGGACAAAGAGGAGGAGATACTTAGGAATTTCTAACCTTGGAGACCTAGCACATCTTCTACTGTAGCATCTCCACTCTGTTTTCTTGCTTGTTACAGAATAATTGGCACAGCTACTGCTTCTTCTTTAGCACTCTAAATTTCCCGATCAGCCCTCGAATGAGAACCATATTCCTGAAACTGTGTTATTAAGTAATTTAATGAAGTGTAAGCTTGAAAGCCCTGTTAAAAGTTATTTTAATGATCAGAAAGAGTTTTCAATAGCACCTGTTACTTCTGGTGGCCTGGTTCTCCTTGCTGAAATTCTGGTGAAGAATCTTCAGTGGTGTCTCCACTGGGGGCAGAGTTTGTGGTCTGAGGAGAGAAAGAAACACTTTTCCCACGTATACTCTCCTAGCATCCAGCTACCTGTGGATCAGGAACATTTTGGAGTTGTCTTTTAATCTTTAATTCAGTTCTACATGCACTTGAATGTTTTAATGTCACAAGGATTTATTAAAATAATGGCATCATATTTACATTTTGAAGACTGAGAGGATAAAACCTGTGTCCTAAAATCCACCTCTAGGTCATTGTGGAGCTTCCAAAGAGAACTAGCAGACTGTAAAGGAGTAACAACTCTCAAAAAATATTCTAGAAATTACAGCATTTCATATTTCTCTGTGGTTTTTATAGAGAGGTTTTCTATAATGCTTTTGTTATTACAACAAACCTTTGTCCCAAGTGCACCTTGGTATTTAATTATGAAGCTTTTAAATTCTATTCTTAGAAGTTGAAGTACTTTTATTATTGAAACAGTACCTCAAGAACTGTATTGTTTCATTCAGATAAGTAAGGACCTCTGCATGATTACTGCTTGCACTGGCTTTTCTTGATTTGCCGTAATTTTCCTGTGCTGTTGATTCAACTTAATTTTTGTTATGACATTATTATTATTTTTGGGTTTGTTGTTATTAATATTTCTCTTTTCAAGAACGACACCAGCGGTGCTTTTCTGGCAGTGGATTAACCAATCCTTCAATGCTGTAGTAAATTACACAAACAGGAGCGGTGATGCCCCGATTACTGTCAGGTCAGACACAAAACCACATACATACGAGTTATAAATAGTTCTCTGATGTCCTGGAACATGGTTGGGCTTTAAAGTTTGAGGTGATAGAGGGATAAGTTTTTTCATCTATGTTTATTACTAATTTGATATGCATAGATGAGAAGTCTAAGAACAATAAAGGTGAGAACTCCATTTCTGCCATTAAAGATAAGCCTGTGCACTTTGATCATAAGCACTTAACAGTGTAGGATTTAATAGGAGTCTGTGCTGCATTGCTCAGTCATTTGAAAGTTGGTTTGGTGTTACATCAGGATATTTCTAAGTTGGTATTTTGTGCAGACCTTCAGGTGTCTCTCTCTCTGCCATCTCTTCAGTGCCCTGAAGTGTAGCACACACCACACATAGTGCTTATTTGCAAAAAGAGGACCCTCCAAGGAACTGGTCTGCGCAGTACTTGTTTCTGCTTGAAGGCAAAGTGGGAGTCTAAATAGATGTAGAAAGCTAGAAATCATAAATAGGAGACTGGAATTGCAGTGCTTGACTTTCTGGTTTAGTAGCTGACTTGCCTATAGATGTCCAGTAGAAAGCAGTAGATTCAAGGATATAGAGACACCTCATAGCTGGGAAGTATGTAGAGTGTGTTTTAGAGCAGACTGGGTTGGATTTGGGTGTTTGCATCATAGCTGGTCTGCATGTATGGGTTTCGGTACAGTTGATTTTAATTACTATCATAGACATGGCATTAGAAATCCAAGCTGGTTTTATTAGTTTAAGTAATTAGGAAATTAAATACAGAACTAAATCCTTCAAGGCGTTCATTCAGACACATGAGAAAATGCTGAACAGATAGCAATGCAGAACCAGCAGAACCAGATTCAATGTTAAAATGTTGCTTGCATGTGATTTTTACTGCTAGTGAAATAGAAGTGTTTTAGTGTGAATTTGAATCTTTCATCCATATCTCATGGCAGTATCACAGAAAGGTCTGCCTTTTAACTTTCTGGGTGGGTATGATTACATGTATAGAATGTAATTAAAAGTGAAGTAAATGTTGACCAGATGCAAACATGTTTATTTTTCTTTTAGCCAGCTGGGAACAGCCTATGTTTCTGCTACCACAGGTGCTGTTGCAACAGCCTTAGGACTTAATGCACTAACAAAGGTATTGCTGATATTTTTTTTCTGCCACTTGTAACTAAACTTTGGTGTTTAATGCGATGCTAATAGCTCATTTCTCCTTCTGTGTATCTGTGGCATGTTATGTGCAGCACCCAGAATGGAGCTGTAATGGCCTTTGATAGCTCCCTTGAGATCCCAACCTTATTTTTGCCCCATGTAGATGCTTTTATATGTATTTCAAACAGCCTGCCCTCCTTATGTGTACATCTAACAGCCTTGTGTTTTGTTAATACAAACTGTATCTAATAAGGTGCCTTTTTTTGCAGTTTCTTTTTTACATGTCAGAGTATATAATAGCATTTGACAGTTAATTGCAGTGAATGTGTAGTTACAACAATGTGAGCTCATTATCCCGTAAACTGTCTAGGTGTGGTTTTAAGGTACAGTATCGCTTCTGCAAACTTGGACACCTCTTCTGGACTGGCTGAAGAACTTGTAAGGAGATGCAGCTCCTAAATGCAGAAAACTCAAATTCTTTAAATGAGTGCAAAACACAAGGCAAAGAAATAGATGCTTTCCCCAAAAAAAAACCACAAAACCAAATAGAAAAGCTGTATTTTGTACCCCTCAGCTTATGCTTAAATGTAATGGTATAGCTTTAAAAAGTTATTTGAGGAGCTATTCCAAGCAGAGTAATTCATATTATACAAGACACTGCCTAGATGAATAGCCTCCATAGTCAGTGCCTCTAGATGCAAAGCAGCTGGTATGGATGCTGTGACCTTGCCAGCAGAGACAGTAAAGTTAAGGTCTGCTTACTGTTGCTCACAGTCATGCTCAGAAGCTGACACTTCTCTGCAGTGATACTACTGAATTAAGATTGGGTTTTCTATTTTCATGCCACTGGTACCTCTGAGAGAAGTATTTATGACTTGTTTGTTGTTTTACCTCTGCCCCACTAATGAGTTTTCACAGCGTTTTAATTTAAAGGAAACAGGTCTGGTCTGTCATTAGCACATGAAGCATTTTAATATGACCTTGGGAAATAAAATTATTATATAAATTTATTTTCTTCTTTTTAATTTCCTTTTCCCTCCCTCTCTCTGTGTTTTGCAGCATGTCTCACCTCTTATAGGACGGTTTGTTCCATTTGCTGCTGTTGCTGCTGCTAACTGCATTAATATTCCACTAATGAGGCAAAGGTTTGAAAAAGAACAAAGATCACTCATTCTATATGTTACTGAGTTTTTAGAGGAGCAAGTTACTAAGTAAAAAGCACATTATATATCTTTAGCTTGTTTCAGAACCTAGCTAAAACCATATGCATGAGCTTGTTTTGATTAATTCATTATGACGGGCATAAAATAGAACATCCTTATTCTCTTCAGATAAATATCCATAGAGATCTTCAGTCTTACATCTCAGAAACCAATTACCAGCCCTTTAAAGGGGAAGAACAAATGAAAAGCACCATCTTATAAACACAAGGTTATGGGCAGAAAAGGGAATATATAAAGTATGCATTTACAATGAAGTTCAATCCATGGTAGCATTTATCTTTTACAAAAGGTGAGGAGTAGAGTAAAGGGAGTATATCTCAGTATATCTGCCCTTCTGTCTGCTTCTCACTCCCCTGAATGAGTTTAACAGCTAACCTTGCACTTGTGGATAAGATGTAGTAGACAATAATGCAGATACAGAAATGTAGTTCGGTTTGTGCATCCATTTATGCTTTCAATTATGTTCTTAGTGGTTGAAATGAAACCTCAGCCTAGAATGTCAGAGGGGAGCCTTCACAAAGATTTCTGGTTTAGTTCTAATCTTCCTGTATTCCCTGTTTTGTCTGCTGGAAAGGACAGAGTAATTCCAGAGCAGTCCAGAAAATCCCACATTTCTGAATTGCTTTTTGAAGGAATCTCTCTGTTCTGTGAAATACAGAAATAACACATCTATTATCTCTTTTCTTCCCCTCAGAATGCTGAAGCAGCAGATTGCTGTTACAGATATTCAGTTGTTTGCTTTTGAGCATATTTTCCCCCAGATCTTTCTCTGCCTTTTGAAATTTTTGTGCCAAAGAGTGTCACAAACAGGTTAACATGGAAAATAAGATACAAACTGTAATTCTTAGAAAAACAGTTTTAAGGGAACAGAGATAAGGTGACGAAAAGGAGGGTAAATGCATGTCTGTCATTGCTTTATTTTATTCCTTATTCAACAGAGAAATCAAGTGTGGAATCCCTGTCATGGATGAGAATGGAAACAGACTGGGTGACTCATCAAAAGCAGCTCAGCAGGCAATTGCCCAGGTGGTTATATCAAGGATTCTTATGGCTGCTCCTGGCATGGGTAAGAATAACTGCAGTAATGTGCAGCTCCTGATTGTAAGTTCCTAATGTGAGAGAGATTAAAGTCTATACAAGTGATTTTTCTTAGAGGTTGCATTATCATACAGTAATGCAGCCAGTGTTTACTTTTCCATTAAGAAGTTCCACAGAGAAGCAGACATTTCTTGCTGTGAAAATATCCACTGTGTGTTGCACTGAAGGGCAGCAGAAAAGCTCCTGCAGTGCTTTTGCAGAAAAGACACAAATAGCAAAGGAATGGCAACAAATTCCACTGGAGCGGAATTAGTTTAGTGAAGAGTAGGTGCTTTGCCCAGTGCCAAGTTGCTGAGCTCAGGTTTAGTTATATGTGAAATTAGGAGGTTTGCTTAATGGGAGAATTTACCTCTGTAAATACCAATCCAGTATCTTGAATTGGCAATGTGAAATAATGAAAGCTCAGTTAATGACAGAAGACTGTGAATACTGTATTAATCTTAATAGAAAATTAAAGTGTCTTTTTCCCCTAGGTTGATGTTTCTTTTTTTCCTTATTTGCAGCAATTCCTCCTTTCATAATGAATACATTGGAAAAGAAAGCCTTTTTAAAGGTTAGTCTTAGATAATCTATGTATATGTATTTCCTATCCTAATATTGTCATGAATTTAAAATACTTTCTGAGTCTTCATATGTGCCACCCAAACACTCTGGAAGGACACCATTTGTAGAGTATGAGTAGAGCTTGTGCTTTACAGCTGTTGCTTTCTGTATGCCTTTCTTAGACAGAGATAGCCTGGTTCTTTTCATCACAGTGTAAAATGACATTAAAGAAAATATGAAGTTGTTATTTTTATAATTGTTCTTAAAATGCAGAGTTCCTCCTAGTAAATGAATCTTCCTTCTTCTGAGACTTGGAATAGAGTTTATTAGAAAAACATTGAAAATGTTGATGTTTTTTCCTCAACATAGCAATAAGGAGGTTTTGCTTAGCTGCTATAGTAGCAATTTGACTTTGGAAACCACAATGATGGTAAAAACCTCTTTTGAAAATGATCCTTTAAAATTTACAGGATGAGCAAGTGCAAGGTAGACATAGAACGGGCATGCTTCATCAAAGATTACTTATTTCTTATATTCTGTTTATGTTAATACAGTATGATGTCAAACATCTGGTCTTAGTAAATATATAAACTAAATCAACATCGTGCACTGTGTATGCATGAGAGGCTAAAGAAGAATAATGATATTAGTTACAGGGTTGTCTAACACAAGAGAAATAATGTTCAGATGAGGAACTCTGTAATCCTTTACCAGTAAAGGGAGTTTCATCTTCACCAGCAGATATCCCTGATTTAATTACTGCATAGCTCCAGGCAAAGTCTCTGCCTGTGAAACCCACCCAGCAAGCTGGGAACAGTAGCCCAAAACAATATCTCCTTCCTGTTACAAGTTGGGAAAAGAAAGCGTGGTCTGAGGCTCCAGACCCTCCCCTGGAAAAGTGGTTTGGGTGGGGACTGGCAGGACAAGCAGGGGCAGTTGTCTGTTTTTTTTTTTTGCCTAAGATAAACATTTCTAAAATATTTAAATTATATTTCTTATTATTTCTGCCTTTTATTTTTCTTGTGCGGTTAGATTACCCAGTTACATGCACCATTTGAAACTGGGAAGAAGTCACAAGTGTATTCCAAATGTGAAACCATATTTTTCCTGAAAGTTCTTTTCTTCCCACTCCCCTTGCTAACACAAAACACTATTGCTCAGAATGTAAAAGCAGGAGATGTGGAATTTGAGTTCAGAGTAAATGACTGTGTGTGTGCTGCTTGTATCTCCTGGAGGAAGTAACGCTGCTGTGCATCCAAATATACCATTTCTCTGCAGCATGAAGAGCCTTGTACAGATTCGGCTAATACTTAATAGCTGATTTCTTTTGACCCCTACCATGTTTGCAGAGTAGCTTTAAGCTGCTTGAGATAGTGTTACATTTGTGAGTACATATTACCCAGAACATTAACCCTTGTTTAAATAAATAACTAAATAAATAAATTTTATGTATATTTGACATGGGAGAAATATCACAAATGCCATCAACTCAACTGGCAAATCCATGACATTTGTGAAGAAGTTACAGTGATCCTCAGGGTTTGGAGACAACTGTCTGTAGTTCGTGTGTGGTATAATCAATATAAGGGTGTTGTGAATTTTTCAGATCAGCAAAAATGAGCGATTTCTTCAGTGACTACTCAGTGGTCTTTGGTACCGTCATGACCGTTTATGCTCACCTGTTCCACCCCCTCAGCCTCAAAGACTGTGAGTTCAGGTGAAAAACTGTTCTGCAGGTAGTCAGTGTAACACTTGGTAGAGATTAGTATTAAAACCATTAAGGAATGAGCTGCATTTTTAACAAGCAGCTTCTGCATGTCCTCTTGAGGTTTTGTAAGCACCATCCCATTTGCAGTCCTCCAACACCACACAATGCTTTACTAACTCATTATTCTTAGCCTTTGCTTTTGCACACCATCACTCTTGAAAATAATTCTTGTATGCTTGCCAAAGCCTATTAAGCAATGCATAAGGCCAGAAAACAGGCAAATGGTTTGTGAAATAATGGAGAAAATGAAATGAAGTTCTGCAGTAAATCAGAAAAGCTTCTGGAGTTATTATGTCTGTGATAGCAGGCTATCATTCTCTGATATTTGAAATAAGATGAAGATTATGCAGCACTATTCATTCCCCATATTCCAACATTGTTTCTCATGAGAATGTTTCGATGGTGACATTAGTATAAATTAACAATAATCCCAAAAGTTACTGCTAGAAAACGATTCAAAAATGTTTTTAGAACACAAGCACATACTTACTGCTTCAAAAAGAATCTAATTATTGCTTTACTTGAAAAAATATTTTTTAATATGTGTGCTTTTGCTATAGGTTTCAGCAGTGGCTTTGGCTGCCTTCTAGGTGATTATTCAGAGTAGTAGTTCTTGAGTGGGCTGAATAATGTCTGTGCGTCTGTGTTCATTACCCCATTACACTTGACTAGCTCTGCACAGAACCAAGTCATTTTATCTGCTACAGCAGGAAGATCCATAAACAACCTTGCTCTGAGGCACAGTGTTTGTAGATTTAGTTTAGTTACAGGTAACCTTTCTCCTAAGAAAATAAATTCATTTTTTCCATAGAAACTTCTGGAAATTCCAACTGACACTGAAGTTTCAGTTTATATTACTGCTCCTACAGCTTCAGCTACTGTTTCTCATGGCTGCTGTACTGTATTAATATCAAAGTTTGTTACACAAATTTCCTCATATATCCCTAAAATAAGCTCCTTGGGGTCTCTTAGTTTGAAACTAAAATACATATTCAAAACTGTTACAAAACTAGAACAGAGAGCTTTTTGGTTGAGTTTGGGTTTGTTTTTTTTTAAGGATCATTCATGAATGTCTTATGCCTTAGGGTCCTCCATACATTCTTAATTTAACTGCCATTTCAGTTTTTCTTTTGAAAACAGGGCTAGCCTTGGAAAGCTGACAGATTTTGAAATCCAACAGTGAAAGGAAGCAGTGAGAAAAAAAGCTGATTCTCTTTATGGCTTTTGTTTGCTTAATTATCATTTCTCCATTTTCTCTGTTCATGCTAACCCTTGAAGATGCCATAAAGACATCTGGAAATTAAATTCTAATTCATCAGGAGCTGCCTTCTTCTGGAGTTAAGTTATAGTTCTCTAACACAGTAAATTCTTCTGCCATCTTGTACTTCTCCGTTTTATCTCTTTGTAGGGATGTACAGCTTGCATTTGAGTTTTGCTTTATTGTTTTACATTGTTCCCTGGGCAACTCAATTCTTAAGATTGACCTCTCAGTCCTGGAGTTTTATCTTGCCATCTTTCTTGATGAGCACAGGCTGGTAGCATTCTTGAAAAATAAAGGCTGTAACTCAGATGAAGTGAAGTGCAAAAATGTTCCAGCACATGAAATAGATGTCGTTCATATTGCCTGTGCTAGCAGACATCTCTCTCAGATCAGTGACCAACTCTGACAGAGGTATTAAACCATCTATTACTTTCATGACACCCTCCAACAACCTTTTTAGTTACGAAATTATATTTGGGATCTTCTGTTAATGTATCTCAGCTCCCACTGCAATGCATAGCATCCCTTTCCCTTAATCCTCCTGAGAGACTGAAGTCATTCACAGTAGTTTGACTTGTGTTCCCAAATACGTGCAATTTACCAGTGCCACGGTCCGACGTCTCTTCCACTGTCAGTCACACCATCTCTTGTTATGAACTCTCCCAGTGTATAAAACATAGAGCATGAGTGAATTTATCTCTCAGCTGACAGCCAAATGAAGGTTTGTTTAATGGAGTGCCAGAACAGCTGCATTCACTCTTTATCTTTTTGCTATTACTGTCTTTTTTCCATTTCTTATCTATTGTTACAGGTTATTGCTGAATTGCACAGTTCCTTCTGCATTCCTTTCTGGATTACAGATAGCTTGACTCCGGGTGGGGGGTAGGAAAAAGAAGTAATCTTCTACATCATTTCTTCTCCCTCAGACTGTGGAGAAAGTTTACTCTTCACAGGCTTGTTTTCCATGCCTCTTCTTCTGCTATGACCTTCTTTAACACCAGGCTTTGTTCCTAAATTTCTTTGTTCTATTTTTGCTCTCAGGTAGTGCCTGTTTCTTGTTCACCAGTTTCCCCTCTAACTTCTACATCTTGAGAAATGCTTCTTGCAGGAAAATAAACCATTTTTTGAGACCATGATCCACTGTAACGTGATTTTAACTCATTTGCTGTTTTATTTTAAAATCAGCTTCCTTGATGTGCAGTTGTGTGTGCACTACTAACCAGAGACACAGATTTTATTGCAGCAACAGACCGTTGCAGCAGTATCGTTTGAATGGGTCTGGTTTTGTTTCATTGGTAATTAACTTCCACTAAAATTCTAACACGGGGGGAATGGATTCCTAAATAGTTTGGACCTACATGAAAAATGTCCTATTTCTTGGTAGATGTTCCAAGTTCTGCAAAAGTTGCAGTAATGAGTAATATGCTAAAAATGCATCCATATGTTGTGTGTTGCTTTCTCAGCTTTATTTTCCCAATCCTTCTACCCTTTTTTCTGTAATAAAAGGTGAACTCTTGCATAATTGGGATTGCATAATTGGGTACCAGACTTGCTACAGGAAGAAGTTCCTATGCATCAAAGTCAGAAAAAAGGGCTAAGAGAGGCAGACAAAACAGTCAACCAGCTGTCCTAGTTCCAAAGGGACACTTACTCAGGATATCAGTGTACATTGGTATCACTGGGAATTTTCTTGTTACTTTTCAAAGGGATTGAACTCTCGAACTGGAGCTCAGCTTTAATATATACTGATACTTGTTTTGCCTTTGTCGTGTCTCTTAGAATGTAAGAATTCCAGGAAGGTGGGAAGGGAGGGGGAGAAAAGATACCCTCCTCACTTTGTGCGCTTTCCTTTCAACAGAGGTATCCTTGGATGAGTGCTCCCATTCAAGTTGGATTAGTTGGATTCTGGTGAGTTCTTTGGGTTGTGTCTGCTATCTTAAGAGATAGTTGAAGGGTTTTTTTTCAGGAGTAGCAGTATTTGCTCTTTCTTTAAATAAATTAAAAAAGGCTACAGCAGTTAATGTAACCGGTAACACCCTATTAAAAAAAAAAAAAAGCCAATAATGAAGAATCTGACAAGAAAAGCAGAGGGAGGGAGAAAGAAAGGGAGTGGCAAAAGGCATGGAGCAGCTTGCTGGAATCTAATCCTGTAGGTTGTTGAATTCTTGAAACATTTGATTAATGGAGAGATGCAGCTGCTGTTGTCTTAATGTTTTATGTTGTCATGGACACCAATGTGAAACACTGGAAGGACATAAAATGATAATTTTATACACATTTGTAAGCATGGTATTGATGCATTTAGTACTACATAGTAGATAAAAGATTTTATAAGGTATAATGCAGCAAGAAACAAAGGTCACAAAGCACTTACTTCGTGGAACTTTAAGCTCACTGTATAAAAAAAAAAGAGCTTTCTGCCTTAAGACCATGTCTAAAGAGTCTGAATTTTCATTTAGTACCCTAACTATTGCAAACCCATTTTTGTCTCCTTTAGTCTTGTGTTTGCCACACCCCTGTGTTGTGCACTGTTTCCTCAAAAAAGGTATGTATTCCTGTTACATCATTCTTAATGTTACACTCCCAGCTGCATGCAAGGTATTGCAAAAACACAAACACATCATTGCCTCCTAGAGCATACAGTTAATTCCCATAAAACAAGTGTGATAAACATGAGAATATATAGAAAAATAACTATGTTACACATCAATAATATATAACAGTAGAATTGGGCTTACTTTGTTTACAGACTCTTAGCAGCTCGAGATACAGGTACATAGGGACAGCAAACAAGAGGTTTGGGTGCATAGTTTAACCATGTGTTCTCACGCCAGGATGTTTGAGCTTGGTAATACAGAGTTAAGAATCACTAGAATGATTCATAAAAAAGGCTAATGTGGTCTAAATAATATATTGACATCCAGTAAGGTTATACTTTGATTAAACAGTCCCATCTTAGTTTCAGCTGGAAACACTGGCCTATACACAGAACAGCACTTAGCTATATGTGCTTATTTGCAATTTATTTATATTTTTCCAGAAAGAATTTTCCATTAATACACAAATAGCTCAGTACTGAAAACTATCTTAGAAGCAATATAGCTGACATCAGACTGAAATCTGGATGGGTTACTTGCAAACATTAAGTTCACACAATATGCAGTATGTAATATGAAGAGGGTTTAAATTCAATTAAGCTGTCCCTCATATTTTAGTGGTTGTCTAAACAGTGCAAGCCTGAGCTAAATCTATTAAAATATTGAGCAAATAAAGTAGCTTTTAACTTCCAGAAAACAATACCCAGTTCTCATCTGATGCAATTATTGGAGTACAGCAAAGCAGTCTGAAATCATCTGCTTCCGTACGTGGCAAAGTAGAGAATGGTGGTAAGCAGCACTAAGCTACCTGGAGATGACTTAACAAACTAGCACAGCAAGTGTGGTACAGTTCTTGATTTTAACCAGGGCTATGCATTTCACAAGATTGGACCTGAAACTATACTGCAGCTAATTGAATGACCTGGCAGATTAAATTCACTTTAAGGTTTGTAAGAGTCATAAAAGTGACCAAAATCAGGCAGTGAGTTAAATAGGCAAATACATTATATTTAATAAAAACACCTTTAAAAAGGTAAGTTTGTATTGCCAGAAACAACTGCAAGCAACTAAGTCGGTTCCTAGCCATCATGGCAGTAGCAACAGCCATTTCTTGACTCTATTGACTGTCCTGCTGCCTTTTAAGCAGGGATTTGTTTGCCCCTGCACTGTGAGCACAATTCCTTCATGAGAAGTTAGCTGAAAACTCTTTTCACACTCCAGGAAGCTTAACCAGATATATCTTCCATCTTACTTTACATTCAAGTGTTTGTTATATGTAACTATTTCACTGTTTCTTTTGCTTAGTTCTATGTCTGTAACACGCTTGGAGCCAGAATTGGAAGCCAAGATCCGAAAGAACAGCCCTGAAGTAGAACGTGTATACTTTAATAAAGGATTATAATTCAAGGAAGGGAAAGTATCTTTCAAGGAGGATCTTGTGACCTTATTTTTGAACTATGTGCCAACGTAGTTGAAGATAAGAGCTCAGTTCAACTTGTCCTTTTGTTAAAAAACTTCGAACATCTCCATTATTTTATATTTCAAGACTTTCTTCGCTGTAGTGTTTAAAATACAAAAGGTCATTTTGTCCACTTTGGTATCAATTAAAAGTTTAACCATACATATCCAAAAATGTTTATATAAGCTCTCAAGCAGCTACAACAACAAACAAGCACACAAAAATACATGCTATTATATTGGATTTGCCACCTATTCCAGTAATAGTAGGACAGGGGTTTCTCCATAAAAAGTCATAGAGCAACTGAACGAAGTTGCCACCCTCTGCCAGCAGCAGGACGGGGAGCTGAACGTGACAGGAGGTTGTGCAGGAAGGGCTTTTTACCAGGAGGTTGATTAGGTTGTAGGTTTTCCCGGTTGGCACAGAACCGTTTCTTTAAGGCAGATGTTGGAGGAGCCTGGAGCTTCTGTACAGTGTGGTACTGTTCTGCAATACAAGCTGCTTTCTTCCGCAGGTCTAGTTTTACCAACATCATGTTGTTCTGGAGTTCTGCCAGTGTTTGGTCCTGAGAAAGGGGAGGCAATAGATATGTATGTAGACATGACATGTTGTCTAACTTCCTGGTTACTGTGAACTGAAGATAAAAATCTGCCTTTGCCAAAATTCATTAACTGGTGAGCTGAATAAGGCCATGTATGAAAGCTTCTACTGTCAACAGTGTGGCAGTTCAATAACAAAATAGTAACAGTAAGGATAGGAAAAAGCTGAATCCATCCTTCTGCAAACATGCTGCCATAGCAACTGTGATAGAGTGAATTGGATAAGGAAGTGAGAACTCAATTCTCCTGCTTTAGGTGTAGGCTGTGAGCTGAACATTAACAGTTTGGGTCTTTTCTGGAGAGTTAGATGTGCAGTCTGACTCAGCCATTGGAAAAAATCAGCAGTATACATCCCTTGGTGTAATAGTATGTATCTAGAGCATGTCATTTTTATTTGCAGCTTCAAGAACCTAGGTTATTCTGCTGATTATGGCAAAGCACATAGAGGAAATCCCCCTGTACAGCCACAATAAAACAGAAACGTTACCTGTCTAGCCAGAATATCATCACATGTAAAGAGGACTTCTCGAAGTTTCCCTGCACTTGTGCTGTGGCAGCACGCTCTTTCTGCAGACTGAAGAGATTCCCCAAGTTTCTGTAATTCTGAACGCAGCAATCTGACATTCTACAGGAAAAAAGGTTCAACATGAGAGCTAGCTTTGACATTGCTGTGCAAGCAAAGCCACCCCAGGGTAATTCAGACATGCAGCACCTGAGGAAGGATCCCATTTGAGGGAGATACACTGGGATCCCAGATTACAGAGCCTTCTGCATCTCTAGTAAAGGTTTTCATACCCATTACATTTTCAACCATTTGCTTAAAAATCTGGAAACAGCAGCTCCAAACACTCTTAAACTGGCAACTACCTTGCCCTGCAAGTGTTCCTTTCTGTAACAGACATGGAGTTACCTTCTGTCCATCCTCCAGCTTCCTGTCTACATCCACAGTAATGGGTCTGGCAGAGGGAGGTGGCTCCAGCAATTTCTGGTACTTGCGCAACTCTAGGAACAGACAAAAAGCAAAGAGCAACAGTACAATCATAAGCTTTCAGTTTTTCTGAAGATTCCCCTTGAGATAAGCTGCCACAGGCAAGCTGAGAAAAGCTTTGCGCAGACATGCACAAGTGTTCCAGGCTGCTCCTTATCAGTTATGCAGAGGAACTTCAGAATTTGAACTGGGATATGATCCTGCCCTAAAGTCCATTTTCACATGAAAATGCAGTGAAACCCAGAATAGTGGTTTCAGGATGTCTGAATCAAGTGTGCTTGCTGATAAAATGTATCTCTAACCCTTTATAAGGGTTGCTCTGGTGTAGTTAAGGACCAGTGTAGCATCATCACTGCCTTACCTGCTGTTGCAGTATTTAACTCTGTTTGACATTGCTCTAGCTTCGCTTTAGTATCTTCCAGCTCGTGTTGCAGAGCACATGAGGTAGCTGCCACTCGCTTTGATCGGCGCAAGCCTTGTCCCAGGTCCTTTTGCTTAGTATCCAGGCTGTCCAATTTTTGTTTTGCTTCCTGCAGAGCAGCTTGGAGCTCCTCGATCTTCTCATCACGCTCCTTGGAAAGCAAGTTTGTTCAAATAGTCAAGATGATCTTAACACAGCTTTCCTGAAACTTTCAGTGTCTTTTCTTCCAGGAGACTTTCACAATCAGACACTTTACACACTGGACCCAGCCTTAGTGCCCTTTCAGTGAAAAGTGTGAACCCATTTTCTGGGAGCCTAATCCACTTTTTTTGCAGCCTCTAGAGATGAGTAACTTTCAGCTTAAGGGATGAAAATCAGAAAACCTAGTCACCTACATAAAGCAGTGGACAAGAAGCAAGAATTGTGGCTCAAGCTATCCAATAATATCACAAAAAGCAAAATGTTTGTTTGCTTAAGTCACCTTCATGGATTCAAGTACCCCAAGCCCCTCCCAACCCCGTGCCATTTTCCTGATATCATTTCATTGCCCTAAACACACCTGGATCATCTCCTGGTAATAGTCAGTGAGCGATTCCTTCAGGTTATTCAGTTTATCCTCATACAGTTCCTCCAGCAGCTCCTTCTGAGTATCCAAATGTTGGCTACAAAGAGCAAACAACTACATGTCAGGGGCTGGCAGTTCTTGGTAGCATAGATCACCCTTAACAAAGGGAGGGAGATCAACATAAGCTGTACCTGCACCACTGCTCCTTCTGCCGCATGTGCTCCAGCATCTCATTGCAGATCTCCTCACGGAGACGCATTTCTAGTTGCAGCTTCTCCTGCCGCTCTTGCACCAGCAGTTCTCGTGCAGCTTCCACTACACGCAGCAAGTCCTGTAAAAAGGGCACAGACCCCATTGCCCACACTGCACAACAGAATTGAACCTTAAATTAGGTAATCCCATATCTGTAGGATAAGGTGACCTAGGTTTAAGATCCTTTAAAGCTGTTCTTGATCCTCTGTCCATGAAGGCTGTAAAAAAAAAAAAAAGAACAAAAAACACAGCCCACCTCCTTCTCATACACAGAGACATCCGCTTCATCCTCACTGTCATCTTCTGATTCCACTTCATCCTTTGCCACTGCCTCTGCACCTTGGCTGGTTCGCCTGTTGTGCTCTTTAATGATTGATTGGATGGATGGAAGTTCCAGCTTTGTGGGTGGTACCTGAACAAGCTGAAGGGGAAAAGGGCATTATTACTAATCCACAAAAGAAGCTGCACAGCCTTTAAGCACAGCACTTTTCTGGAGCCTGTCAACTCTTTCAGTTTAGCAGAATCTGGAAGTACTGTAAAGGCAATAATCCACTGGAAAAGCATAGGGAAGATTTGCAAGCCATCCCCATCTTGTGATGGAAAAGGGCTCACTCTCAAAGAAGCAAGATGTATCCTGACCATACCGTGATCCTGGTCTGTGCTGCTTACCTGGCTAGCAATGGCCGAGAACTTGGCTACATGCAGAGTTTCATCATATGTAGATGCACACTGGTTAATGTTGACAATCATGCAAGAGCGCCCACGTCCAGTGAAGAAACCCTGGAACACACGGGTTAGCTTGCTGTCCCTGAAGGGAACCATGGTCTGCTTCAATCTGTGGGGAGAAACAAGAGTGAGCCCATGGAAAATAACAGCTTCCCTACATCCTCCCTCTAAAATTTTGGATACTCACTTGGACTGCTGGTTCTGGCGGAGGGCAGCAATGCAGCGACCCAGCGTGTGGAGAGAGGTATTGATGTTGTTTGCTTCTTTCATTCGGTCCCCATTTTTCTGGTCTTTGCAGCGCTCTGACCCCGCAAGGTCACACAGGGATAACCTGAAGAGGGCACAGGGGATGTTCACATGAACTACTGGGTTTGTCCTGTTCTATCAAGGTGTAGAATTCAGACATCCTGCAATCCCCTACACCTTGCTCACCTTCCCAGCTTCCCCAGAAGGGAAGTACTTTTAGTGTGTAGTGCTACTGCTGGACAAAAAGGCCTACTCTAGGGGTTACAAAAGGTTAAACCAGCATGAGCTTGCAGTGTCAACTTCGAAGGTCCTTTGCCAGTCCTCAGGACAGCCACTTCCCAGGTACTGAGACAACTACATCCCAGGAAAAGGCATTGGTAACACTCAGATCAGCCCTGCTGCAGGTGCAGTGTTACATTTACCTTCATTCAAAGAGCTTAGGAGCTACCTCAAGTTGTACTCTGCAGTACTCCTCACAAAATTCTTAGTCAGTTCCAAGAAGAGTGGGAACATTTACTCCACATACTTTAAACAAGTCCTTCCTCCAGATATTTCCCATACCCCATATCCATGGCAAAAGGCAGGAATTTGAGTCCACAGAGAACACCTTCAAATCCTAGCGCATAAAACTTACTCGCTGATTTTTGGAACAGTTTCGCTGCCACCTCTTTGCAAGTGCAGAATCCGAATGGAGAAGACACTGTGACTGTGGAGAGACAGGCAGATATTTTAAAAAGGAAACGCAACCTTCCTCAAACGAATTCTGAGAAGCCCTTCAGAACTGTATTTCTGCCTAAACCTCCCTTCCCCTTCAGACCTTCGACTGGAGTTCTGGTTCATGAGGGTGCTGGCAAAACTCTGGTTTTTCCGACCCAGTTTCAGGAGCTTCCAGGCCTCATCAGCATCCCGGACATTGATCCAGTTCAGATCTGGAAAAGGAGGCACACATTGGGCAAGGCAGTCAGGAGACTATTAGCCCCAGCTTCACCACTGCATTTCCTTGCCATTAGCAAACTTAACATTCCTATAAATACAGACATCAGAGACCTCTGATGGGCAGCCATAGAGGGCATCCCCAACACATCACACTGCTAAGCCACACACCTACCCAGTCCCTCAAGTCTCCCTAGGAAGCCAGTAATAAATATCCTTTGGGTAAATGTACCTTTCAC